CTCTACAGTGAGCGCAAGGTCTACTCCAAAAAAAAATCCTAAAAGATCATTTCAAGCCTCTCCCACCACATACCAAATATCCCTGAAAATGTAAAATTACCCCAATTCTTATAGCCCGTGGAAGTATCTTGGATAGTCTTTAAAAGACACAGTAGATAAGATGGAAAACTCACACAGCACAGATAGGCAGTATTTCTACTAAATTAAAACTTTATTGAATAAAGAACACTCCAGAACACACAATCTGATGGACCAGGTCTACAGCACATGCAACGAAGCTGACCGTGACAGCGGCTTAACATGGAATGTCAAACGCATTCGTATTCTTCTGTTGTTCAAAACTGTCCCACGCAGCTGATGTGCGAAAAGGCAAGCAGGAACGTCCGATTCTCCCCGTTCATTCGAGTTTCAAAAAGGCCCTTCAAGACACGGGTCGACGTCTTTAGCATATAGTTCAAATAAATTAGTTACATGTGCACTCCTGAAACACGTTTCAGCTCCTTCTCAATCCCAAGCAAAATCTTAGTGCAAACATCAAAGTTGCTGCCCACCTGAGACTCAGCCTCCAGAAGAGGACTCCCTCGGAATTCATGTGTGTTAGGGAGCCGCAGCCGAGAGCCCCAGCTCCTGCAAACCTGGCGGCACAGCGGGCAAGCTCCCCTGCACTTTCCTCCTAAGTCTCTCACATGAATGACTAACGCCTGTTTACAGTACTAAAATCCTATCATTCAAGCATCAACGATTATATTTCATGAAAAAGGACATCATTCATTTCAGTAATAGCATTACTGCTACATTCTAAAAAGAAAAAAAAAAGACAAAATGAATCATGATCCACAAAGCTAGTATCCACAACAGGGAAAGCATTTTAGGGAAGAAGTGTGCTTGGCCGCACAGCCAGATCTTACAGTGTAAACACCAGCGGCCACCACACCCCAGAGGCACCCAGGGGCTCAGGTTGCAACGCCCGTGTGCTTTATTTTCAGATCTGTGTTTGTGAGTCTGTGTACCAATATAAGACAAATAAAACACATGCAGGCACGCGCACACATGGCTGCTAAATGTCAGGCATGGCTTGTCTCCCCGACATGGACTCGGACACTTGTGAAACGATGCCCGAGCCTGTCCCAGCACAGAGCCACTCAGCACGGTGGGCAGAGCAGGGACAAGGGCGTGCACGGCTGGCTCAGGTGCGAGCCCAGTCCTTCCTCCATGGGCCTTGTCTGAACTTTTAATTGACATCAATAATAATAGCAATAACAACAACAATAGAGCACAAGTCCGCAGACTCCTGCAGGGGCGGCCTGGACCACACCCTCCAAAAGTGCACACAGCAATGGAATGTTTTAGCAGAAACATGAGCACAAGTGTCTGTCTTTCACGGGAACAAAATTCAGCTTCTTGGTAAAACAAAAATTTAAAAAGTATATTCAGCCACAACCATCAGCCACCTTTCAGACACATGGGCGTGCTCAGGGTGTGGGGAGAAAAGCCCTTACCTATACCTCACCTACACAGCTCGGAGGAGAGCCAGAGTTCTCAGAACCCACTACGTGAAATACCGCCACGTACCTCCTCCCCGCCCCTCCCGCCCGCCCGCCCACCTTCCCGTGCCCCAGAGAACCTACAATGCTAGGTCAGTCTGTGTGCTGGCCCCCAGGAGGGCCGCTGCTGAGTACCACCTTGCTGGAACAGAAGAACCCGGGCACCTCCCCTCGGGCACCCGCATCTTCTCCACCACTGAGTGGATCTCGCCGCTCAAAGACGGGGTCTAGATCTCCAGGTCATCAGGTCGGGGTCGGCTGCTGGCCCGGCTGCTGGCCCTGCTGGATGGCCGCTGGTCCACGATGGCCAGGGGCTGGAGTTCATGCCCCGCGGAGATCTTTTTAGAATTCTGGCTGTCGTCAGGGAAGTCGAAGGGCTGGGCGTGGGAGTTGGAGATGGTGCTGCCTGCCTGGCCCATGCGATTCTGCTCCGCACTGTAGTTGGCCCAGTTCTGCTCGCTGGCCTGCTTGTTGTAGTTGCGGCACGAGGAGTTGTTCCTGTCCCCAGTCACCAGCTTGTACCCAGGCGGGGACATGGGCGAGAGCGGTGCGGTGGGTGAGGAGCAGCCGTTGAAGTAGGCATACTTGGGTGAACCACAGTCCTTGGATGGGCTCAGGGGGCCACCTCCGGGGAAGTAGGGGTCACTCCTGCCTTTGACACGGTCCTTGACACCCTTGAAGAAGACGTAGAAGAGCTCGATGATGTTGAGGGCCAGTGAGACCAGGGACACCACCAGCATGAAGATGATGAAGATGGTCTTCTCAGTAGGGCGCGACAGGAAGCAGTCGACCTGGTGGGGACACGGGTCGCGCTTGCAGGTGTAGACGGCACTGAGGCTGAAGCCGTAGATGTACCACTGGATGAGCAGGAAGGCCACCTCGAAGACCGACTTGAAGAGGATGCTGATGATGTAGGTGCGCAACAGGCCACCGCGCATCTTCACCTTCCCGTGCTCCTCGATGCCGTACTTGAACTTCTTGATCTCTATCTGCTTCAGGTGCATCTCCACGTTGGCGCCGTCCAGCTGCTCCTTCTGGGCCTTGAGCTCCTCCTCCTTCTTGTTCAGCTTCTCCTCTTTGCGCATCACGTAGAAGACGTGCGCCAGGTAGAGCAGCGTGGGCACTGACACGAAGATGATCTGCAGCACCCAGAAGCGCACGTGTGAGATGGGGAAGGACTTGTCGTAGCACACGTTCTCGCAGCCGGGCTGCTGCGTGTTGCAGCGGAAGGCTGACTGCTCGTCACCCCAGGCCGACTCCACCGCCGTGCCCAGCAGCAGGATGCGGAAGATGAACAGCACGGATAGCCACACCTTGCCCCCCGCTGTGGAGTAGGCCTGGACCTTGTCCAGGAGCTTCCCGAGGGCACTCCAGTCTCCCATGCTGCCTGGGGATCACCTGTGGAAACAAGGGACACACATGACCACGGGACACAGGGCCGTGTCAGCCGGAGCCCAGCTGCCAGGCAAGATGCTTCGGTGGTGTCTTGGAGGCAGGGTCTTGCCTGCCTCGGCCTGCAGGTGCTGGCCCTCACACCACATCCAGCCAACTGCTAAAATACTGCAGCTTGCCTACTCCGACTTTCCTGGATTCTTCAAGAGCAGGCAAAGCACAAGGCCAAGCGCCAGTGTGTCCTGTCTCACTTCCCCCACCACCACCCAGGTAAATTTAGGTCTCAAAAGCAATGGGGCTGAGGGCAGAGGACCACGACGAGAAGTCAGGTGCCAGGCTTACACCTCAGTCTGATGAGCTGGGAGGGTCACCCAGGGCCTGAGGCTGGACCCTGCTCACCAAGGCCACATATCCAACAACCACCATAGGGCAGCTGGCTAGGTACGGGGAAACCACAGCCCTGGCCATGCCCAAGCCCACTCTGCAGCCTCGCCTCCCCTCTCCGGGCCACCCAATTGCCCAGTGGTACCCGCCTGAGTCACAGGGTGAAGCTGTGCACTGATTCCCCACGGCGGAGGGGAGCCATGCAAGCTGTGCTCGCAGACCAGTGCAAGCACGTCTCCCCCGGAGAAAGCCTGCTGCACCATCCTGGCACAGCGGTGTCTCACCATGTGGGGTTGGCAAGGGGCGACACAGCCAGGCAGCACTGGAGGAGTGTGACGGTGAGAATTCAGGGCATGGGGCCACCATGCCAGGCTTTGAAGTTGATTATGTAAATGCTCATAGCAGCTTATCACTAAATTCTTTCACACAGTGGAAAATGAAACTTGACTGCACTGAATGCAGCAGGGATTTCTGTAGAGTATGGCCCATGCTGTCTGCCTCTCTGCACCTGTCCACCCACACAGCGGTCGTGGACCCCTGAGTCCTGTAACGCGCCCATCCTGGTCACTGAGCTCCAGCTCACCTTCTTGGGACTGTTCAGCTCGCCCTGGGTCCTGACTCTACACCCACTCTAATGTTCTCATTTTCCTAGCCTGAGCTGGAAAACACGCATCCCTTCCCCGAGGATGGGGCCAGGAGGTTCCTGATTGTGCAGCGCTGCGTCCTCAGCCAGGTGACCGCCATCCTGGGACTCCTGCGCCCCTCCGCCCGCCTCCCTCTGCTACTCCAGGCCTGGGCAGCTTTTTATTTTTAGTCACTTTTTAAAAAAACAAGTATCTGAAATGATTGTGAAGTTCTCAGAGTAGCAGGCAAACCATGGTTTCTCAGCATTTTTTGTTTTCTTGTTCAAAATATTTGGAAATGGGAGATATGTCAGGAATGTGGAAAGGGACAGGTGCCTAAAAACCCCGGCACTGCCATCCCTCTGGCACAGCCAGTGAGGTGTGAGGAAGGAAACAACAGCATTGACAGAGACCCCTCACCGAGAAGAGGCAACCTCAGTCACCCCTCTCTGCTACCCCTTGTGCTGGAGCCTCAAACTGATGGACTAAAAGTGCGGCCCATTCCTCTTATTACAAATCTAAATAGTTCTTAGAATTAGAAACTACCTTACTTTTCCATTAAAATTGTATTTGAGAAGTGCTTCCCCGGCAAGCGCAAGGGCCTGAGTTCAATCCCCGGTTCCGCCAAAAAAAAAAAAAAATGTATTTGAGGGGGCCGGGGAGATGGCTCAGTAGAATAGGTGCTTCCCTGGCAAGTGCAAGGGCCTGAGTTCAATCCCTGGTAGAAAAAAAAAAAAAAAAAAAGAATTTGTTTTCCCGAGACAGAGGAATCTACAAACACACAGGAACAGACCACTGGTACTAATGTGAGGTTTCAGATCTATCCTGGATGAAAGAAGGAAGAGGCGCTTCATTAATACTTGAAAGGGGAGAGACTGGGCATAATGTCATACTCCTGTAATCCCAGCACTAGGGAGGCTGAGACAGGAGGATCACTTTGAGTGTGAAGTGCATAGCAGGACCCTGTGTCAAAAAGAAAGGGAGAGAGGGGGAGGGGAAGGAGGGACAGACAGACAGACAGACAGACAGACAGACAGACAGACAGACAGACGAAAACCACGCTGTCTAGAAGACACGGGAAGCATCTGCAGAAGTTCTTAAGAAAGCCACTGTTGGGGGTCTAAGCAGGAGGCTCATCCTGTAATCCACCCCCCAGGGAAGCTGCAGGAAGGGAGCTGGACCAGCTCAGTTCCATTTCCAGGTTCTGAATCCCACTCCGGTTCATGTCCATGCCCCAGCAGAACGCACACAACCTGATCTCAGAGTGCAGGGAGTTCTGACCTTCGCACTGCAGGCGGCCCCTGGATCCTCCAGCTCTCAGCCTGGCACCCTGCCTGCCGATCACCCAGCAGCTAGGCCCTGCTCAAAGCCAAGTCTGGAAATGACAGCTTGCCCTGAGACCAACCGCTCTCTGCTCTCTGGTCTCTGCCTGAGCCAACTCTCCAGACAGCGTGGGACAGCAGCCTCCTCCTCATCCTGTCTTGTCCTGTCCTGTCCTGTCCGGTCCGGTCTCAGCAGTGGCCTCCCATTCCTGGGGTTCCATTGTTGAAGGTCCAGCTGAGTCCACACCATGTTCGTGTGTAGGTATTACTGTCCCTGCGTAAGAAGGACTCCTGTCCACCTTTCTGACTGCCCTGTGGCTCGGGGCCCCATGCTGTCCCCATGTCCACACACCCTAGATGAGCTCAAAACCTGCTTGTTGTCAGTGCCCTGTTCCCCAGAAGGAACCACACAGGGAGGGAGTGCATCATGCAGATTCCCTTGCTGTCATTCTTCAGCTCAGACTTCCAAGGCTTTAAACTAGAGGGGTGAGTAAGACAAGCAACAGCGCCTCCTGTGGACGGGCTGCGAGGAGAGGGCCACTGCAGCTGTTGGGCCTTCGGTTCCTCCAGATGGTCACTGGGATGTAGCGCTGGGGGCCCCAAGACTGGAGTGGCAGAGTGGGGAGGGCAGGGCTGCTGTCCCAGGGAGGACCACAGCTAGCTCCTTCGCACTGGACCCTCCTTCCCAACCCACTCCTACCCCTGTGTAAACAGTGCTCGGTGGCATCCTGGTCACCCTCAGAGTCCTTGGGGAAAGACAGTCACAGGCTCTGCACTGGGGTGTGGGGAGGCAGCTTCGGCACAACTCAACCTCCTGGCTTCCTTCCGTCTCTTCCAGAAGCACCCAGCTCTTCCCCCAGAGTAACCCCCTCTCAGTCCCTTTGGGGTGCCAGAAGCAACCCCAGAGACTGGAGTTGTGGCCGTAACTAGGGATGAGTAACTTCAAAATCCCATTTCCATCCAAGCTTCCCCTGCCCTGCCCCACTCCCACCCCAAAGGATTTTCATTAAATTTAACTTTGAGGCAGAGTCTTGCACTTGCAGTCCTACTGCCTCAGCCTCCCAGCCAGCCCGGACTACACACAAGAGTGTGCCGCCTGGCTGGCCTGCTGTCAGCAGGTCTTCACTGGGCAGTCCTGCACTAATCGCACGGCTGCTCCCTGGGCACCTCGGGATCCAAGAACTCTGCACACAACACAGCTGGCCTGGCTAGGAGCAACGCGGAGTAGCTGTTCACTCTTCAACAGGATCTTCAGATACAGCTAATTTTTTTCCAGTGTGGGTAATTTTACTTTAGTGAAATTGCCACTAAAATAGTGAACAAGCATACAGTTGCTAAAAACTACTCGGAAACCCATAGGGATGTGAAACGAATGGAATTTCCAAAGGAGCCAAGTGTGGTTTGAGTTTAGACAGATGAGGGCCATAGCCAGCCATTGGCCCGACCTGGGGGCCACAACAAGGACGGGCTTGCCTTCCCAAACCGACTTCACCGGACAGCACTCGCACTCCGGGGGCGGGCGGCAGTCTCAGCCTGGTCTCCCGCCCTCTGACCCCACTGGGGAATGCATGGCGACCACGGCAGAACTGCCCCCAGGTCCCAGCTCTGCACGGAGCATGGAGACATCTGAGGTCAGGTGGGTACAGCCGCTCAGGGCAGCCTGGAGGCCGCGGGCAACTGGACGGCGTTGGGCTGTGACCGGGGACAGGTGGCCACTGAGCTCCACTTGGGGACCTGGGGCTCGCCCCAGGGCTCATCCAGGCCGGCGCCCCGACCTAACCAGGAGCACCCTGGCTCCGCAGACTCTGGGGTTCAGCGGAAACAAGCACTGGGTGGAGGAGGCTGCCCGGCGGGGTGTGGCTTGTCTCCACTATCCGGGTGTAGGGGAAGGTCAGGCTCCCCCCTTGGGGGCTGAGTCAGTGCAACCTCTGGGTGGAAAGTCGCCACCCCCAGCCCGGCGGCTCCTCCAGCACCGGAGGGTCCTCACTGGGGCAGGTGAAGCTACTGTAACGTCCCCAGGCCCGAGGCAGAGGTGCCTTGCCCAGGTTACCCTTGGAGACCCCTGCGTCTCGCTGCCTCAGCCTCCCCGAGCCGTCGCGTCCACCGCGGTCTAGACAACGGAACAGCGGCTTCAGCCCGGATCCGCAGCGGGCGGTCCTGGCCGCGCACGTGCACTGCTGCTCCCGGGTGCCAAACTTCGCACCCAGCTCCGCCAAGCTCCAGGCTGCAGGCAGGTGGGGGGCGCCCCCCAAACCCAGAGCACGGTTCCCTCGAGGTCTCCCGGAACCCGGTCCCGACCCAGCGTGCGCTCCTCTTTCAGCTCCCGGACCGTCCACACCTCAGATGCCGGCCCTGAGCTGCCCAGCGGACCCCGAGTACAGCGCCTTCCTGCTCAGACCCGAGCGGAGCCACGTGGACGCCAGGAGTCGCCGCCTAACAAAGCGCCCGGCCACAAAGGAAGCGCCCTACCCGGTACAGACATCGCCGCGGGAAGGCGCCAGGACAGGAGCGCAGGCGACGGTGTCCGAGGGCCGCAGGATTCCCGAACCACCTCCCACCCGGGCAGCAGAGCAGAGCCGGGACCGCGATCCGTTAGGAGGGTCCGGCCGGTAGGCACCGGGCTGCGGCGGCTACCTTCGCGGGGCCGGGGAAGCGAACGAGCTCGGACCCAGGCGGGGCACCGAGTGGCCGCCGGCCCCGGGCCTCCTTCGGCGAGAAGAAATCAACAGAACGGACGGCTGCGCCCCAACACTCACTGCGCGACTGGTTGCTGGCTGCTGGCCTCGAAGGCAGAGACCCGGGGCCGGGTCGCGAGAGTCGGGGCTGGGAGAGTCGGAGCCGCGGGCACTGCTCGGGGCCTGCTCCCGAGGGCGAGCGGAGACCTCCAGAGCCGCTCGGGATCGGAGCGCGCAGCTTTTAAAAGTTTCAGGCACTGACTCAACTTGGAGGAGGAGCTGGAGGAGGGGACGGCGGCGGAGGGCGGGAGCTGGGCCGGGAGCGCGGGCGGGGTGGGGGGCGGCCCGGGGTCCCCACGAACCAGCGCCGCCTCTGGGGGCTGCTGCTCCCCGAAGCCCAGGCGGGCAGCTGCGCACACAGAGGCCAGAGGCACCGAAAAGTTGTTCGTTTTCCAAAGCGACAGTTCCTAAGTTTAAAAATAAAAAGGGACAGCAAATCAAAGTGGGAAGCCGGGCGTGGTGGCGCGCTCTGCGGCCCCAGGGAGCTCGCCAAGGCAGGGCCAGGACGCGCGAGCGAATTCAAGGCCCTGGGCTACAGAGGGAGTTCTAGGCCAGCCTGTTTCCAAAAGAAGGGAGGCGGCGGCGGAGGCGGGGGAGGGCAGCAAGCGCAGGCTGGTTTCTTGCGGCCAAGGTGTGTGAAAGGCGGAGGGGGCGGGCGCCCAGCGGGACCCGACTAGTTCCTCCGGCGAGAGGGGCTGGCTCGGGTGGCCGGGCCGGCCGCACCACGCCTCAGCCTCCCGGCTGCAGCCCCCGGCCGCCCGGTGCCCTCCGTCTTCTGTGCCGAGGACGCGACACGGTGAGGCGCTGTCGGCACTGCACTCCCGCTGTACCCGCTGCACGGCAGCGTCGGTGCGCTCACGCGGCGTCGGGCAGAGTGTGACACTCGGCACAGAACTCCGAGGACTCTATAGCTTTTGTTTCCTGTGAGACGCCGGCGCTGAGACCAGGACGGTGACGGCTCCCTCCTCAGCGGAGAGCAGCGGCCCCGGGCCTCGGCGCCCCATGCAGGTGCCAGGCCGGACCCTCAGCGGCGGTGGGCGAGGCGGTCAGAGCCACCGGCGGGCACCGAGCGCCGGGCCGTGGCTCCCTCTGCAGGGCCCCGGGGAGGTCGCAGCGGCCGAGCCCGGTTCCCTGGCTGGGCAAAGCTCCTGGACTCAGACCGTGTCCGGCCTGCCTACCCCCAGCGTCTTGGGCAGGACGAGCCGGAAGCCAGTGACCGCCCTCCCCAGGTGACCCAGACCTTTAGAGCCGGCAGCTTCTCTTGGGCATCTGCAGATTCGCCCTCCGCAGGGATCCGGTGGGCTCTAAGCCCAGGGAGGGAATCCACGTTGCAGCCCACGCTCGGTTGCTACCCGGGCCTCCGGACCTGTTCGCTCCTCCCTCCTCCCTCAGCTCCTCTGCTTTACCCAGGGAAGCCGCTTTCCTCCCTCCAGACTCCCGCGGGAAGTAGGGTTCTGTTAGGTTCTTTTCCCTGGATGATGCAGTACGTTTGTCTCTTTCTATCCACAATGAATGACTGTAAAATGAAACTGAAAGATACGTTTATGGTGTCCAAAAATGTAAATATGCGTGGCTACAAGTGAAATTTTACAAAGTAGGCCAAATCTTCTACACTTAAAGCTATAAAAAAAAGTTCATAGAAATTAAAGACCTGAGTAAACAAAGATACGATTTTGTTTTGTTTTGTTTTTGAGATAGGGTCTCGCCATGTAGTTTAGCTGATCGGAACTCACTGTGTAAATCACGGTAACCCTCCTGCCTCAGCCTCCTGAGTATGTGCGATTACAGGTGGGGGCCTCCACATTCAGCTTCTACCTTTTTGAAACACAGTTCCTTAGTACAACACTGTCCGAAGCTAGTTACCGCCCTCCTCCGCCGTGGGAAGGCACAGGAAACTGCCAAACTGCCACAGCTTGCGCCTCCTACCTAAGGAAGATCTGGGGCCTTCCTGCTAGCGGAGCCCAGCCACTGCCTCCCTCCTTCCCCTCACTTGGCCAACACGAGGCTTGTTTCCCTCCTAGAAAGTTGTTTGTCAAGCATAGTGGTTATTGATATCTGTCTTATTAAAAGAATTCCCAGGATGATAATTGAAAGCTATGGAAGCAGCAGGCAGTGGTTGACTATCTTGTAACAGGATTTTCAAAACAAAATCATAGTTTCTTCACCATTCTGTGGTGTTGCGTCTCTGAGTGCAGCTTGGGGTCTAAGCATCTTTCAGCCTCCTCTTTTTATAACCTTGGACTGGTGAGTGGAAATATGACCAAGGCACCCCTTCATCCAGAGCTAGGCTGCCGGCTCCCTCAGCAAGCACTTGGGGGAAGGAGCTCAGCTCAGCGTGCCCCAGATGAAATGTCTGCTTCTCCAGAACAGGAATGCACAGCGTCTGCTATTTCTAGAATTATTTTTCCACAAATCTCAAAATGACTTTACCAAAATTTCTCTGATAAGTGAAGGCATTCTGTGGGCTCTTCTCTGTCTGGAATAATGGCATAAAAATGTGGCCCTAAGACTCGTGATAGCCGAAGAGAGCCCACTGCTGCCAATGCGCTTCCTGCAGTTTCTTCTCCCCCCGCTTGGAGCGACCCCAAGCAGCTGCCACTATACCTCATACTCCAGTTGTGTGGCTAAATTA